GGCCGGTGAGAGCCGGGCGGCGGGGCGGATGGCGCTGAGCGTGGTGATGGAGGCAGCGCGTTGACGTTAGAATCCTAGAGGACTGACAGCTGACATTGAGTGAAGCATGCATTGGGTTCACGGTTTCCTCCTGTAATCTTCATTCCCATGCTACGGAGCAAGTAAGAACTATTACCTAACCATTTTTTAAGAAAAGAGGAAACTGAGTCCAGTCAGCGTGCTCAGTGGTTGAGCCTCGACCTATGGACCAGGAGGTCACGGTCAGGGCACCTGCCCGGGTTGCGGGCTCCATCTCCAGAAGGGGGCGTGCAGGAGGCAGTCCATGATGATGTTTCTCATTGATGTTTCTGTCTCTCCATCCCTCTCCCTTCCTCTCTCTCTAAAAAACTAAATAAAAACATTTTTTTAAAAGAGGAAACCAAAGTGCGGTTGAGTAATGTGTCCCCGTCTCACAGCTGGAAAGATGTTGGGTTTGGAGGCAGGTAGACCTCCAGAGCCCATGAGCTGCTTGTAGCCACTGTGCTGAAAAGCTGGAAGCTAGAGAAGCAGCACCCAGAGGGCAGGAAAAACAGGATCAGGATGGACAGTACAGAACTTAACGTGGGGGACAGGGCAGAGCGCGCCGGGCTCCGGGCCACCGCCCTAAGCAACTCCTGGTCTTTTTGCTGGTGGAGGATCTCACCTTCAGTTTGTTAACATCAAAACACCGGTGAAGCCTGCTGACCTGAGGCCCACCTGTGTAAGAAACCTGTTCCCTGCAAGCTCACGGACAGAAACCAGATTAAGTTCCTGCTGCCTCTCCTCAGCCTTGTGACGACAGCGTTATTCCAGGACCTGCTAGTAGTAAAATCCACTCTAAGCCAAAGGCAGTAATGAAAGTTCTTCCTTCCCTCCTGGTCTGTTGGGTTTTTAGGGAGTTGGAACTTTGTATGATGACCAGTTTTCCAGTATTCATGTGTTTTCAAGCCTCTATAATTTCAGTTTTTCTTTTAACTGTTTTTCTCTGAGTATAATGCCAGTAAGTTGAGTGGAGCTATTTATTTCCCAGGAGTTTGCAGAGAGTGGAGGCTACTTCTGAGGGGCTGAGAAGACATTTTATTTGTCTTTCCTATAAGTAATTTCTATTTTTAAATATATTTTTTATTGATTTCAGAGAGGAAGGGAGAGTGGAGAGAAACATCAATGATGAGAGAGAATCATTGATTAGCTGTTTCTTGCACGCCCTCTACTGGGGATCGAACCCACAAGGCGGGCATGTGCCTTAACCGGAATCGAACCCGGGACCCTTCAGTCCTCAGGCCGACACTCTATCCACTGAGCCAAACCAGCGAGGGCTTCTATTTCTATCTATAGTACAAAACACCCATTTTGGAGCATTTAATTTTCAACAAATTTGTACTGTTTAAGCACGGCTCAGTTCTAAGCTGAGGGTTTAGGGAACATGAGACAAACCTCGTTTATCTTACAGGTTAGCAGGAATGGTGGCCGTTGAGTAAATGTAATGGGTGTTGGGCATTGGGAAAAGGGCAGCAAAGTTAATCGTGAAGGGAGGGAGGGGAAGGTGTGAGCAGTGAGGATTAGGGGTTAGCCAGGCGGAGGGAAGGTGAGGACAACAGTATTTCAGGAGAGAGAGCATGAGCTAGGCCTTGAGGTAAGAGGACAGAGTCTTGTTAAGGACCTGAAAGGGACAAGTCTGGAGTGGGACTGAACGGAAAGAAATCAAGGCTGAAAAGTCAGCGCGTGCAGTGTGTTATCTGTTACTGTACAGAAATCACAGACTGCAACAGGTGGTCTCTGCTGGGGAGGAGTCCGGGCGCGGCGCCGCTGGGCTTGGAGCTGAAGGTCTCCTGAGGTTAAATCAAGCTGCTCAGCTGCGGAGTCTCATTTGAAGGCTCATCTTGTGCTTCCCTGTGCTGAGCCCTCCTGGGGGGAGTGTGGGGGGTGGGGGTTGACTGATGAAGGACTGTTCCATTGGTCCTTGGGAACCATGGTCTTGTTGGCCACCAGAACCAGATCAAGGGGTGTCCCCTGGGCAGCAGCTGCAAAAACTGTGGCACCAGATGTGATACTAGTGACATGGAGCCCGGCAGAGGGAGGAGAGCCAGTGATCATGCCTGGAGAGGGTCAGTGTTGGCCCCTCGTCGTGTGCTAAATTAGATGCCTGCCCTTTAGGCTGAGTTCTAGCGAAGCAAATAAGCCTCTTTCAGGCCCTTTTCAGTCGCTGCCTCTGCACTGGGCTCCGGGGTGGATGAGCCTTCGAAAGTCTTTTTTTTTTCCTTGAAAGAGAGAGAGAGAGAAGCATCGGTTTGTTGTTCCACTTATTTATGCATTCATTGATTGATTGTTTAGTGCCTCGACCAGGGATCAAACCCACAACCCTGGTGTATAGGGATGACGCTCTAACTGAGCTAGCCGGCCAGGCTGGGAAGATCTAAGAACGGTTTCTCAGTTTGCTATGGCCTTGTGGGTCTCGTAGTTGCAAGCCTCATTGGCTTTCTAAGCAAGATGTTTTGGGGGCTTGTCTCTCAGTTGTGGGTCTAAAAGTTGTGGTGCCGGTGTGGGGTTCAAACCCTTTGCTGCTCGGGGAGAAGGTTGGGTGTCAAGGCTGGGGTTATGGGAAGACTATCTCAGCCTCCCCCATCTGTCTCAATATGGGTTTTTTCCGCACTTTCTTGATGTATAGGAGTCACTTGTCTAGATTTTGGTTTCTTTCAGAGGAAATTTTGTCTGTAGTGTATGTAGACTTGGTGTGTCTGTGGGAGGAGGTATGTTCAGGATCCTCCTCCATTGCTCTCTTGTATGGGAACCTGTTGGGGCCACTGTGGAGGTCGCCGACCACAGCCAGGTTCTGAAAACCTTGTGCACCTGATTTTATTCTGAGGCTATAGGAAACCATGAGAGAGTTTTGAACATTTTTAAAATTAGATGGGCTAGTGGGTGCTGGAGACCAGGTAGGAGATCATTGCTGTGGGACAGGTGAGCAGTGTGGTCCTTTGAGCTGTGGTGGTGGGATAGGTGAGCAGTCCGGTGGGATAAGTGAGCGGTGTGGTGGGACAGGTGAGCGGTGCGATGGGATAGGTGAGCAGTGTGGTCCTTTGAGCTGTGGTGGTGGGAGAGGTGAGCAGTGTGGTGGGACAGGTGAGCGGTGTGATGGGACAGGTGAGCAGTGCGGTGGGACAGGTGAGCGGTGTGATGGGACAGGTGAGCAGTGCGGTGGGACAGGTGAGCGGTGTGATGGGACAGGTGAGCAGTGCGGTGGGACAGGTGAGCGGTGTGATGGGACAGGTGAGCAGTGCGGTGGGACAGGTGAGCGGTGTGATGGGACAGGTGAGCAGTGCGGTGGGACAGGTGAGCGGTGTGATGGGACAGGTGAGCAGTGCGGTGGGACAGGTGAGCGGTGTGATGGGACAGGTGAGCAGTGCGGTGGGACAGGTGAGCGGTGTGATGGGACAGGTGAGCAGTGCGGTGGGACAGGTGAGCGGTGTGATGGGACAGGTGAGCAGTGCGGTGGGACAGGTGAGCGGTGTGATGGGACAGGTGAGCAGTGCGGTGGGACAGGTGAGCGGTGTGATGGGACAGGTGAGCAGTGCGGTGGGACAGGTGAGCGGTGTGATGGGACAGGTGAGCAGTGCGGTGGGACAGGTGAGCGGTGTGATGGGACAGGTGAGCAGTGCGGTGGGACAGGTGAGCGGTGTGATGGGACAGGTGAGCAGTGCGGTGGGACAGGTGAGCGGTGTGATGGGACAGGTGAGCAGTGCGGTGGGACAGGTGAGCGGTGTGATGGGACAGGTGAGCAGTGCGGTGGGACAGGTGAGCGGTGTGATGGGACAGGTGAGCAGTGCGGTGGGACAGGTGAGCGGTGTGATGGGACAGGTGAGCAGTGCGGTGGGACAGGTGAGCGGTGTGATGGGACAGGTGAGCAGTGCGGTGGGACAGGTGAGCGGTGTGATGGGACAGGTGAGCAGTGCGGTGGGACAGGTGAGCGGTGTGATGGGACAGGTGAGCAGTGCGGTGGGACAGGTGAGCGGTGTGATGGGACAGGTGAGCAGTGCGGTGGGACAGGTGAGCGGTGTGATGGGACAGGTGAGCAGTGCGGTGGGACAGGTGAGCGGTGTGATGGGACAGGTGAGCAGTGCGGTGGGACAGGTGAGCGGTGTGGTGGGATAGGTGAGCAGTGCGATGGGACAGGTGAGCGGTGCGGTGGGATAGGTGAGCAGTGTGGTGGGACAGGTGAGCAGTGTGGTCCTTTGAGCTGTGGTGGTGGGACAGGTGAGCGGTGTGGTGGGACAGGTGAGCAGTGCGGTCCTTTGAGCTGTGGTGGTGGCAGTGGACCGGGAAATCAGTGGATGCACTGGGAGGCGGTTGCGGAGGTAAACTTACGAACTCCAAAGATAGGTTTGGTGTGTGGGGGTGGAGGGAAGGGGCCAGGGAAGAGTCTTAGGTTTCTGGCTCGAGCACGGGGTGATGGTGCCGATTCCTGGGATCAGACTGCAGAAGGCGATCTGGCCCAGGGAGGAGATGAGTTATGTTTGGGCTATTAAGGTGAGTGTGATGAGGTGGCCAAGGTGACATGGAGTAGACAGTAGTTGGACAGGTCTGGGCTGCAGATAAGATTCGGGAGACTTTAGTAGTAATGCCATGGTGATGTAAGACCGAAGAAGGCCTGGTACCAGCCAATATTGACGAGGGGGAGGAGCTGGTGGGAGGTTAGGAGATGGTGTGCCACCTTCCTGCTTTGTAATCTAGTGATGAGTTTGGATTTTGAAGTCTTTATAGCTAGAAGTTAGTATAAGTAATGTTGGAGGAAACACTTGTCTAAGAGATAGCTTCTTGCTTCTATTATTCAGAAAATGTTTCCTGAGAATTCATTTGTGCAAGGCATTGTGCTGGGGTACGAGGGGAGAGCGGCGCTCTGCTGTCTTAGACTCACACGTTTTTAGCTCTTGGAATGTCACTGAGTCCTGATTCTCTTAATTGATTTTAGTTCCAGAAACAAGATTGTATCTACTTTCCCAGAGATAAGCAGAAAGGCGATTTGCATTAAACACACGGGGAGGAGTCTAACAGCATTAATTACAATAAGACGTGTAAATAGCAGCTGCCCATCCATGCATTTCTCCCTATGAGAAAGCCAGAGTGTGGCCTATTGAGCATGTCAGCAGGGAGCCCCGCACCCTAAGGTATAGTTTCCTCAAGTCTGTGCAGCCTTTTCTGCTATGTGATCTACCTGCCAGAGCTTGGGAACTAGGAGACACTGATAAAATCTTAGTCTTTTTCCTCTTCTTTTTCTAGGTACCACCATCACCACACACACACACACACACACACACACACACACACACACACTCTTACACACACCCTCTGCCCCACCCCATCTTGCTTCTCTTTGTTAAATACAAATAAACCCAGAAAATTCAGTGTTAAAAATTTGCTTACATCAAATTTACTTTTCCTGCTTTGCTGCTGATGTGTGTGTTTGTTTTGTTAATCCTCACCTGAGGATATTTTTTCCATTGCTTTTTAGAGAGAGTGGAAGGGAGGGATAGCAACAGAAACATCGATGTTAGAGAGAGACATCCATTGGTTGCCTCCCGCATGTGCCTGGATTGAGCCTGCAACTGAGGTATGTGCCCTTGACTGGAATCGAACCCTTGACCCTGCAGTCTGTGGGCTGATACTGTAACCACTGAGCCAAACCAGCTAGAGTGCTGTTGATGTGTTTTGAATCCAGTTGTGTGATGTCCCAAATACTCATGCGCAAGCAAGTAAATAAAGCTCTCCGCAGCTGCAGTATGCTGGTTCCTCATTCCCACGCAGACACTCATGAGAAGTTATGTGGATCAGGTGCGTCAGGGAGAGAGCGAGGCGGAACCACTGCAGGGTGTGTTGTTGTGTGTGTGTGTTTTGTTAAGCTGCACAACCAGGAGAATCGGTTGTCATTTACCATGAAAGGGAAAACGGGGGAGTGGTTTTAGGGACCGTAGCTGCCATGGCTGATGGACTTGAGGTTCCTGGCATCCTTCATGTGGAGAGAGGTGTGGATTAGGCAGCTGCATTTAGGATTCTGAGGTTTACAGGAGACATCCTGACTCGGGTCACAGGCAGGTTTTTGGCATGTTGGTGGTGTTTAAAGTCATGAAACGAAGTGTGATACCAGTGATACAAACGGAAAAGGAGGTCTGTGGCTGAGCTCAGGACACACTGGGCAGGTGGGTATTGGAGATGAGGAACCAACAAAAGAGAAGGAGCCATTGTTGCGACAGGAGGGAATTCAAGAGAGTAGTATTTCCAAAGCCATGGAAGGGTGTCAGGAACCAGGCTGGATGGTTCCAGAGAGGCAGGTCATTGTCGTGACTGATGTGGTGATGGTTTTACAGGCTTGTAAAGTGTCTTCAATGAAACACATATGTATGTGCTGTTTATTGTATGTCACATATCTCGTTTTAAAAAATCTAGCATCCATTCATGATTTAAGAAAAACCGGGAGGGAGGGAGCTGCTGTGAAATGCTGTTGCTGGGTGAAGTAAGAGGAGACGAGAATGGCCACAGGCAGTGGCACGCCCTTGCTTACTAGCCAGGTACCCGCAGTGGAGTGTGGGGTACAGGTGGGTGTGTGTGAGCTCGAGAGAACGGGAGGAGGAGGTGGAGGGGTAAGAGTGCAGACGACATTTTGGAGTTTTGAAAAGAGAAGTTGGAAAGCGAGACCAGGGAGAGGTGAAGTCAGGAGGGAGCAGTGTGCGCTTTGCCCTAAGGCGAGGGAGCTCCCAGCTCACAAAGGGGGCAGGGCTTGTTGCATAGGATGGACCGAGCCAGCAGGAAGGGAGGTGGTGGTGCGCACTTCCCTGGGGGCGGGGAGACCCACACATGCCTCCTTTCTTGGGGGTCCTGGGGGTTCTGGCCAGAGTTATGAAAAGTCGTTTCTATATCTTGGATATACTCTTCATTTTATTCATTGTTTACTGAAAACTGTGGGTTTGTGGATCACTTTTTTTTAATGACATGCCATCGTTTTATTTTTTTAAATATATTTTTATTGATTTTAGAGAGAGAGGAAGGGTGAGAGAGAGAGAAAGAGAGAGAGAGAGAGGGGAAGGGCGAGAGAGAGAGAAAGCAATCAGCTGGGCACACCCCAACCAGAGATTGTACCCTGACCAGGAACTGAACCGGATCCTTTGTGCACAGGAGGTGCTCACCCAGCCGCGTTGCACTGGCCAGGGCTGTGAGTCACCTTTGAAGAATCTTTACTTAAAGCCATTCACACCTTTATGCAAAGTAATTATCATCCTATCTAATAAGGAGGGACTATGCTAATTGACGCTCATGCTGTCGCAAAAGATGGCAGCACCCACAGCCAATAAGGAGGGAATATGCTAATTGACTGCCCCGCCCTCAAAGATGGCGGCACCCAGTCCCCTCAGCCCCCTAGCCGCCCAGGGCCGCCCGAGGCTTACGCTGCCAACAGTGGCAGCAGCAGAGGTGTGATGGGGCGTCGCCTTCCCCTGATCACCGGGTCGCCTCCCGCCCCTCAGGGCTCCCGGACTGTGAGAGGGGGCAGGCCGGGCTGAGGGACGCCCCCTCCAGTGCATGAATTTCCATGCACTGGGCTGTAGTAGATAATATTTCTCATCTTGTGTGGTCTTAAGACTGCTATGATTGCCCTGGCCGAGTCGCTTCGCTGGTTAGAGCAGTGTTCTGATACACCAAGGTTTACACCAAGGGTTCAATCCCCGGTCAGGGCACATGCAAGAATCAACCAATGAATGTATAAACAAGTGGAACAACAAACTGACGTTCCTCTCTCTCTCTCTCTTTCATTTCCTCTCTCTGAAATCAGTAAAAAAGAAGAATTAGTTTTAAAAAAGGACTGACAATTATATGTTGGTGTTTCGTGTATTAAGCCATAGCAGTAGAATATCCTCCTCCTCAGTCTAGCACTTGTCAGTGAACATGACTGAGTTTTAGATAAGCTGCCACCCTTAGCAGTTGTTACAAATTTTCCTTTTCTTAACGGTATATGCTCTCCCTGTAAAGCAGGAATGTGCAGTCGTTTCACTGAGGAATTTGATGAGGTGAATTTGAAGCTTCCACTATCTTAGGATTGGTCGCTTTGGGGTTGAAGAAGAGGGATAGAATCTTTGCTTGCTGTAGCAGTTGCTTCAGATGTTCTGTTTGATGTTTCCACAGGTGAGGGGAAACCCAGGAGCTTTCAGAAGAAGCCTTATGTTCTCAGCCTGGTCTTACTTGGGATTTGAAACTTATCAGCTCCTTTCTCCAGCTGCTGTGGTTCATGCCGCAGCCAAAGGTAAGCCAGCTAATCATCAGGAACACTTAGTGATTTATGTGTGTCGTTTTTGGGTTAATAACTTAGTTATTTTTTAGTAGATATTGAAACTAATATTATAGGCTAGATTATTTTCTGCTTTCCTCTACATGTAGGTCCGACATATATTCTTCTAATAACTATAGCTCCTTCCGTGAAAAATATCTTATTAATATGTTATAATTCTGTAGGATCCTTGGGGTAAGAGTGTTTGATACATTTTTAAAGGGCTGAGGTGTTGTGGAGGGAAAAGAGGATATCCCACAGAGACCACATCTGAGCCACACGCTGACCGCGCCGACTCGGCCGGGAGAGAAGGTGGTGTCAGTCCCTGCTGGTAGCAGCGCAGTGGTTCGTGCGTTCCCTTATGCTGGCGTGCACACTCTTCCTGGCACAGTTACCAAGGGCCCAGTTACTTTGAGATGGAAGTATTTAGTTTATAAACAGAATGCAATTTGATATTAAATATCAAATAACTGGTTGAAAAGTAGAAAAATTACATCAAATTTCTTATTTGGCATACTGTACCTAAATAAACATATATTTAGAGTTGCCATATTTTAAAAATTTAGTTAAGTTGTGTATGTATGTAGACAGAGCCAAAATTTCAGCATATTAGAAAAACTCTTAATTGATGGGTTAAGCCTTTTTTCACAGCCCCACTTCTTAATCATTACGAAGGAGGTGGGGAAAGAAGCAGAGATTTGATTTGAATAGACATTCATAAAGTTCCGATATGTAAAGAATTTCAGAATATTAGCTAAAAATTACTAGTTACTGGTTTTATTTACCTGTGACTATTTAAAAAGCAGGTAATTGAGAACTTCTGTGTGTTTTTTATCTTTTTTGTAAAGTACCATTTTCATGAAGGACAAAATAGAGGACTTGGTTTTGTCTCTGGCTCAATGACATATTTTGGCAAATAGAACAAATCAGCTTTTATTTATTTATTTTTTTGTTAATCCTCATTCGAGGATATTTCCATTGATTTCTAGAGAAAGTGGAAGGGAGAGAGAGATAGAAACATCAATGATGAGAGAGGACCATTGATCAGCTGCCTCCTACATGCCCCCTACTGGGGATCGAACCTGAACCCAGGCATATGCCCTTGACCGAAATCAAACCCGGGACCCTTCAGTCTGCAGGCTGATGCTCTATCCACTGAGCCAAACTGGCTAGGGCTACCCCACTTCTTGAGTGAGCTTGGGGAGTGAGACCCCAGGACTCCTGTGGACCAGCTGGGGGTGCCCACCCTTGGTGGCTCCCTGTCCCTGTAGGCAACACCCAACCTAATGGCAGGTAGCAGATGTGAGCTGAGGAGGCATTCCCTTCAGAGGAGACCATTCACCGCAGTGAGCTCTCCATTGCAGGAACCGGGTCGTGCGGCCTGGCCTGGTCCTCAGCACCTTATGAAGTGCTTGAGCGGTGCACTTGGCTTTGCAATATTGATTACGCCAGTGGTTGCCAACCGGTGGTCCGGACCACTGGGGTCCGTGAGGTCCGAAAGGTTGGCGACCGCTGGGTTACGCAGACAGCAGGGTGCCATGGCAGGTGTTCAGCCAGACAGCCTCTGCCTGTTTCCAGCAGAGGTGACCTTGTCCCTGCAGACTCCAGCCTGGAGATCATGGCAGCAGACACATGCCCCAGAGGAGGGGAAACATGCCTGATGCTGTCAGGCACAGCGTGTCCATCTTAAATAATGACTCTCAGTGCCATCCCTGCTGCAGACTGAGCGTTGTCTCCATTCCAGGATATTTCCGTGCATGTCGCCTGGGGGGTTCCCAAAATGTGTGTCACTGGAAGTGGTGAATCTGGACACTTCCCATGTCCATTTCTTATTGGCAGTGGTTTGGCATCCACTTGACATCCGTCGTGGACGGATCCATGGAGGGCACGATCCAGGGGAGGGGGTTGTGGGACGCAGAGCATGGTGTGCAATGGCGCGAACGTTGCTGGCGTCCCTCTGAAGGTTCTGAACTCGGTACAGGAAAGGAGAGAGCTCCTGAGAGTGGGCGTGTGCACCAGAAGTGGCTCCCTGTGGCTGGGGGGTGGAAACGAAAGGCACCCTAACTGGGCTGCCGGCCCCTCTCCAGCTCAGTGACGGGAAGCATCGTGAAGAATTGGAGGAGAGTGCATGGGGCTTCCACCGGGAGTAAGTGTCCTGGGAGAGAATGGTACTTCGGCCCCACCTCAGAAAGGTGATGCTGACCCCTGGCCAGGAGGCTCCTCTGAAAAAGTGCAGAGAGACTTGGGGAAATCCTGAAGGAGCTGAGATTTAACGTTATTTAAACGTACTGTTCTGAGCGTACTGAGGAGACAGTAGTACAGGGTTATACACCAAGCATTTGACTGAACTTGAATTCATGCGAGTTGGAAACGGAAATGGGGTAGCACGCCTGAGCTCTCCAGCGTGTCTACTCAGCACCAGGACGGACCTACTTTCCACAGCTCCTGAGCGACTGCGCCAAGATGCGCTGGGACTTGTGACGTGCAGTGCTGGCCTGCTGTGTGTGTAGCTGTCATTTGGCCCCCAGTGTGTGTGATGGATGTGTGTTAAGTTACAGGAATCCTGACCCTTTTACCCAGCACATGCTGGTTCTTCCATTTTGGCTGGCTTCCACCTCTGCATGGATGAGCTGGTCAGGAGTCCCACTTGCTCTGCCGTGTGAAAGTAGAAGTGCACATATGCGAAATAACTCTAGACGTAGTGCCAGTCCTAGCACCGGATCAAACCTGGAAAAAGCAGCATTTTAATATTCCGAGGTGTAACTTGTTCTGAAAACGGAATTCATTGTTTTTATTGCAGATCGTAATGAAACCTGCCTGTGTTTTAGAACCTTACTCTATTTTCAGGCCTATTTAGAGCACTTGACAGTTAGTGCGGAGAACAGAATGTGGATGTGTATTTAGCCTCCCTTCATTTTCTCTAGCTTTGTTTTCTTAAACAAAACCTCCCTTTATAATCAGTTGATTGGCATGTTCATGTAATTTGTTTCTGAAACTAGGATGTAGCCCCTGAGAAGACATCAGTTGTTGATAAAATGAGCCATGTTTTTATAACTTGGAAAACTGTCCATGTTCATGTGAAAACGGGGCTTCCTTGGTCCTCTCCTTTTGCTTTGCTGTGCCATGGTTCTTATTCTTCATATTTTTTGAAATTAGTCTTCAAATAATTCCACTCATGAAAGCTTTTGTTTAATTCTCTTTAGATCTGCTTTATGCTCATTGAAACCAGTTAAATTTTTCTTCATTTACTGGAATTGAATTGCGTTCTGCAGGGAGACTTTTTTGCAGTGCGACATTTTTAGAAGTTAATCTAAGGGCGTGTATGCTCTGGCATTCCAGTGGAGAGGGTTATGGGACTCATTGTTTAATGGCAACGTCTCTATTGACCACACAATTGTGCCAGATACCTGCTGGCGAAGCACTCCAGGAGGAAGTTTTTTATTGCCGTCAAGTGGACAGACCCTAAAGCCCCTCCCGGTGTGTAGCACATGCGCAGTGCTCATAATTCTTGAATATGCGCAGAATCATAATTCTTGAATATTTGAATTTTTTAAGTCAGTGATGTGACTGCATGTGTGTGTGTGTGTGTGTGTGTTTGCGCGCACGCCGGCCGCGTGGGCGCGCTTGAAAGGGCCTCCCCTCAACGGCCTGCTGAGCACTTCAGCCTCTCTCCACTTATCTTGCTTCTCTACTGATGACCCTTCAGCGCTTCCTAAGCCCTCTACAGAGAAACTTCAGAAATAGAGCTGTTCCCAGCTTAGAGGGGGCTCCATCCCTGTCCAGGGACCTCTGACACGGTCCAGGGTGCACTCAGCGAGAGAACCAGAACACCAGTTGACCACCACACACATGCAGTCACATCATTGACTTAAAAAATTCAAATATTCAAGAATTATGATTCTGCGCATATTCATTTTAGGCTAAATGTAAAATTTTACTGTACAGTTGTAGGTAAATGAATACCTCAGTTCATCTTGGAATATGTATTGCTTACTGAAGTTGAAAAGTAACTTACTTTAAAAGTTGAGTCCCTTTTATAGAGGGTGGTCTCTTTATGTTGGTAACATAGCTTATTTTTTAACTGTTTTCAGGGGAAGTGCAGAGCACGAAATGAGTAACTCACAGCCGATTTGCAGAGGTGTGCGTGTCTGCATGCCCCCACCCAGTGCGGGGGGTCTGCAGTATCAGAGGAAGTGCCTCTTTCCTTACAAACCACACCCTGGCGGCTTCAGAGCTGCTGTTAGAGTCAGGGAAAGCATATTTGAGCCGGGACATGTAGCGCATGTGCTGTGCTGTAGAGTAAAGGAACTGGAAGTAAGTGACTTAAGAAGTTATAGAAGAATAACAAACACAAAGAAGCTAAATATTTTACATTATTCACTAGATTTCTACATGTTTCTTCTAATCGCCTGGGTGGTGACCGTGGAGTCTGGGTCATGTTAGGGACAGTGGTCTCTGCCAGGGTCCTTGGGGAGTGGGAGGGCTTCCTTGAGTGTGAGTAGAATTGAGTGTAACTGCTGCTCACACATGCCATGTGCACACTCAGACCTGCCAGACCAGTATACTTGATATCATGTAGTTTCTGTTACCACTGCACCACGTTTCCACACACTCAGTGACTCAAAACAACACAGGTGTACTACCTTCCAGTTCATAGGTCAGAAGTCCAAAGTGGGCCCCGCTGGGTTCACGGCAGGGATGGGCAGGGCTGCGTTCTCTGGAGGCTCCAGGGAGAGTGTTCCTGGCTCCTCCGCTCAGAGGCTTCCTCCACACTCCTGTCTGAGAGCCCATCCTGGCTCCAGCCCAGCCCTGTCCCGGGCCTGTCTCCATGGTCAGACCTCCTGACTCTTGTGCCTCCCTCAGCGCCGTCTAACGGCCTGTGATGATCTTGGGCCCACCAGATCCAAGATGGTTTCATATTTTGAAGTTAGCTGATTAGCAGCCTTAATCCAGCTGTACACTTAACTCCCCTTCACCTGTGAGCGCCACCTTTTCACAGGTTCCAGGGGTCGGGGTGTGGACCTGATGGGGGCCTGGGTGCCGAGACTGCTGCTTACTCCTTTTTAAAGAATTCTGGGTGGTTCTAATCCAAATGGGAAGAATCAGCCATTGATAAAAATATAGAATACAATGGAAGCAAACTTAAGAAAATTAATCAGCTGTTAACCAGCTGAATATTATTAAACTCCAGCATAGATTTAAGGATTAAAGAAGAAATTTAAAAAAACACTATAATTTTAGGTTTTTTTGCTGTAATTTAATTTTTCTTACACTAGTATGATTAGATCATGATGTTAACTTAAAAAATACTTTATGGTTGTGTCATAAATTCATGAGTTTTTTCCCTTTTTTGATGATCTAGGTCCGTGGTCGGCAAACTGCGGCTCGTGAGCCACATGCGGCTCTTTGGCCCCTTGAGTGTGGCTCTTCCACAAAATACCACAAAATAGCACATGCAGGCGCGCACGTACAGTGCGATTGAAACTTCGTGGCCCATGCGCAGAAGTCGGTATTTTGTGGAAGAGCCACATTCAAGGGGCCAAAGAGCCGCATGTGCCTCGCGAGCTGCAGTTTGCCAAGCCGCAGTTTGCCCACCACTGATCTAGGTTTTAGTATTTCAAAAACTCTAACCTGCGATGCACTGTGATTAATCAAAGCATTCCAAAATGAATAATAAAGTGAACTGGATACATTAGAATATGGGGTTCATAGGACTGAGTAGTAAGCACCCTGACAGAAGACAAGATTCAGGGTTTGTTCCTAGTAACACTGGGGGATCCTGAGTAGTTCATCACTCACCTTCAGAGCGTTGCACTGTGGGTAAGGGTTAGGGGTTGGCAAGGGTGTCTAGACCAGTCGATGAGTGGTTGGAGCAGCACTCAGTGAAGTATGGTTCAGGTTCTCTGTTGTCAATGTCACCTAAGTTTTTGATGACGACACATTTGCCTCTTTTCCCTGTAACGTGTCTGGGTGAGTCAGGTCGTAAAGAGGATCTAGTGGGTCAGCCCGCAGGTGGTTACTGTGGCTGGGTGTTCTGTCTTGGTCCACAGCTGGCACTTAGCAGCAGAATAGTGAAGACTGGAGAGTGAGGAGGCACCTTAACACCTCACAGGAGGTTCCTTTCTCCTTTTTAAAAATGCGTCATATTGATTCGCACGCTTGCTGCCGGGGTTGGAGGTCAGAGCGAGCTTCTCGGGGACCACTGGAGGAAGATGGCGGTGGAATCGCGCGTCACCCAGGAGGAAATTAAGAAGGAGCCAGAGAAGCCAGTCGACCGGGAGAAGACGTGCCCGCTGCTGCTGCGCGTCTTCACCACCAACAACGGGTGCCACCACCGCATGGACGAGTTCTCCCGAGGGAACATGCCGTCCAGCGAGCTGCAGATCTACACCTGGATGGATGCCACCTTGAAAGAACTGACTAGTTCAGTAAAAGAAGTCTACCCAGAAGCTAGAAAGAAGGGCACACACTTCAACTTTGCAATTGTTTTTCGGATATTAAAAGACCTGGTTATCGGGTGAAGGAGATTGGCAGCACCATGTCCGGGAGAAAGGGGACTGATGATTCCATGACCCTGCAGTCGCAGAAGTTTCAGATAGGAGGTTATCTGGACATAGCGATCACCCTTCCGAATCGGGCACCACCTCCTTCAGGGCGCATGAGGCCATATTAAATTTTATTGACTATAAAAAAAAATGCATCATATTTAGTAGCAGAACAAGCTTTCTAATATTTTTTCCATGGTTTAAGTAAATCCCTACGATAGCTTCATGCTTACACATTGAGATACATCAGAGTCTTTCTAATTTTCTTTGCTTGTATATGAAAGTGCTGCTTAGAATCGTTGCCATGTGGCTTGGAAGACCTACTTCCTGTTTTTTCATAGGCTTCCGAGTTGAAGAAGTCCTCCAACAAGCAGACTACCTCTACGAAAGCGGGGAGACGGAGAGACTCTACCAGTTGCTGATCCAGCACAAGGACAGGTGAGCAGCGGGGCCTGGGCTGCGGCTTCCTCTCCATTGTCGTGTACATTCACACTCGGCCTGAGTCCCGGTGCCAGAAGGTTTCATAGTTCCTAAAGGTTTCTACTCAAAACAGCACTTCTTAGAGTTTCACCTATAGCTCTTTCTTTCTTACAGTAAATGATTCCAAAATGCTACATTTTGATTTAGAAAAGGTTGTCCAACTTATTCTAGTACAAATTTGAAATACTTTGTCCATTTTGTGATTTTGTTTTGGATCATAAAGGTAAGTTGCTGAATATATGTTTGTCATCCCTATTGTATATTTATCATTTCTTGAAATTAGTGTCTGGTATAAGATTTAAGTGAATTGGGATAGTTGCATGCCTCCACTGGACATTTTGGAAGCACAGTTTTTTAGAGAAACTAAAAATACCTCCTTTTTAAAAAATAGAGTGCCTGTCCTGGCCCGTGTGGCACAGTTGGTTGTCCCAGGCACCAATGTCGCCTGTTGGATTTCCTGGTCAGGGCACATACCCAGATTGCTGGTTCAGTTCCTGGTGGAGGAGTGTACAGGGGCAACCGATCGATGTTTCTCTCTCTCTCAAATCAATTTTTAAAAATAAAATAAAAAATACAGTACATGTTTAGTCCAGAGTTTCAGTGTATACTTTTTGGGGGGCGGATAGAGGTGGAGTGGATTCAGACTATAAAATAAGTCAGGGTATTTCCAGGTCATTGATCAACCTCACATCCTTAACTAAAGATAGAGTCACTTTCTACTGCTTGTCTTGGATTCCCAAGACCCCGATCCTTCTACTTCCTAAGTATCTACAGGACCTGTCTCCTTCCATGGTCCCCTCAGCAACTTAAGGTGACTGGTTTGCATTGTATCTTCACCACCAACAACGGGTGCCACCACCGCATGGACGAGTTCTCCCGAGGGAACATGCCGTCCAGCGAGCTGCAGATCTACACCTGGATGGATGCCACCTTGAAAGAACTGACTAGTTCAGTAAAAGAAGTCTACCCAGAAGCTAGAAAGAAGGGCACACACTTCAACTTTGCAATTGTTTTTCGGATATTAAAAGACCTGGTTATCGGGTGAAGGAGATTGGCAGCACCATGTCCGGGAGAAAGGGGACTGATGATTCCATGACCCTGCAGTCGCAGAAGTTTCAGATAGGAGGTTATCTGGACATAGCGATCACCCTTCCGAATCGGGCACCACCTCCTTCAGGGCGCATGAGGCCATATTAAATTTTATTGACTATAAAAAAAATGCATCATATTTAGTAGCAGAACAAGCTTTCTAATGTTTTTTCCATGGTTTAAGTAAATCCCTACGATAGCTTCATGCTTACACATTGAGATACATCAGAGTCTTTCTAATTTTCTTTGCTTGTATATGAAAGTGCTGCTTAGAATCGTTGCCATGTGGCTTGGAAGACCTACTTCCTGTTTTTTCATAGGCTTCCGAGTTGAAGAAGTCCTCCAACAAGCAGACTACCTCTACGAAAGCGGGGAGACGGAGAGACTCTACCAGTTGCTGATCCAGCACAAGGACAGGTGAGCAGCGGGGCCTGGGCTGCGGCTTCCTCTCCATTGTCGTGTACATTCACACTCGGCCTGAGTCCCGGTGCCAGAAGGTTTCATAGTTCCTAAAGGTTTCTACTCAAAACAGCACTTCTTAGAGTTTCACCTATAGCTCTTTCTTTCTTACAGTAAATGATTCCAAAATGCTACATTTTGATTTAGAAAAGGTTGTCCAACTTATTCTAGTACAAATTTGAAATACTTTGTCCATTTTGTGATTTTGTTTTGGATCATAAAGGTAAGTTGCTGAATATATGTTTGTCATCCCTATTGTATATTTATCATTTCTTGAAATTAGTGTCTGGTATAAGATTTAAGTGAATTGGGATAGTTGCATGCCTCCACTGGACATTTTGGAAGCACAGTTTTTTAGAGAAACTAAAAATACCTCCTTTTTAAAAAATAGAGTGCCTGTCCTGGCCCGTGTGGCACAGTTGGTTGTCCCAGGCACCAATGTCGCCTGTTGGATTTCCTGGTCAGGGCACATACCCAGATTGCTGGTTCAGTTCCTGGTGGAGGAGTGTACAGGGGCAACCGATCGATGTTTCTCTCTCTCTCAAATCAATTTTTAAAAATAAAATAAAAAATACAGTACATGTTTAGTCCAGAGTTTCAGTGTATACTTTTTGGGGGGCGGATAGAGGTGGAGTGGATTCAGACTATAAAATAAGTCAGGGTATTTCCAGGTCATTGATCAACCTCACATCCTTAACTAAAGATAGAGTCACTTTCTACTGCTTGTCTTGGATTCCCAAGACCCCGATCCTTCTACTTCCTAAGTATCTACAGGACCTGTCTCCTTCCATGGTCCCCTCAGCAACTTAAGGTGACTGGTTTGCATTGTACACTGACTTCAGTAATTACTTGAAAAGTAAGCTGTTAGGTGTTACTCCATAGTCATTGAGTTATAAATATGCTATTGCTTCCTGCAGTCTAAAATTCTATTAGTACCATTTTTGTTAACAAATACAGGGTGGGCCCTGGCTGGTGTGGCTCGGTTGGCCGTCATCCTTTGCACCAAAAAGTTGTGGGTTTGATTCAGAGTCAGGGCACATGCCTGGGTTTTGGGCTTGATCCCTGATAGGAGGCAGCTGCTCCATGTTCTGCTTTCACATCAGTGTTTCTCTCTCTCCCTCTCTCTCTAAAAATAAATAACACTAGCCAGCTTGGCTCAACGTTTAGCAGTGGTTCTCAACCTTCTGGCCCTTCAAATACAGTTCCTCATGCTGTGACCCAACCATAAACTTATTTTTGTGGCTACTTCATCACTGTCATGTTGCTACTGTTATGAATCGTAATGTAAATATCTGATATGCAGGATGGTCTTTGGCGTTCGACTGCCAAAGGGGTCTCGACCCACAGGTTGAGAACCACTGGTTTAGAGGGTCGGCTCGCAGACTGAAGGTTCATAGGTTCGATTCTTGTCAGGGGCATGTACCTCGGTTGTAGGCTCAATCCTTGGCCCTGGTTGGGGCGTGTGTGGGAGGCAGCCAGTCGATGTGTCTCTCTCACAGTGATGTTTTCTCTCTCTCTTTGTTTCTCCCCCTCCCTTCTACTCTGTCTAAATCAATGAAAAAATATCATTGGGCGAGGATTAACCAAAATATCCCACAGAGGTGGGGCAAAAGTAGGTAACAAAGTTTATTCTTATATTATCTCATAATTATTATATTCTTTGCCACATAAACAACTGTAAACTTACTTTTGCCCCATGCTGTATATAACAGTAGACTTAAAGGTAGACATTTAATAAAAAGGAATTTAAGGTTACTTTTAAAACTATTTCTGCCTCTTAATTGTGGTTACTCTTTTGTTTATTAACCATTTCTTAATTTACATCATTCTGTGTAAGTGGCCGTTCTTCAAGGAGTTGAGTGCCCTTACTTGAGAAATGCTACTCCCCGTGGTTCAGACACGGTGCATTTGGAGGTTACGTCGTCCTCGGTCATTCGTTGACATGCACGTTTCGGTGCCTGTTGTGGAGGGACCGTGGGGCGGGCTCAGCAGGCTGTGCCGTAACCAGACGCTGTGTGTCAGGCCTCCGTGCCTGCTGTGCTGTGTGAGCACTGGCTCGCAGTCCAGCCCTGGTTACAGGCTGCGCTTCGTGGGCAGGTGTTCGAAGGAAGGTGTGTAATTAGATATTACAGGTAAGTAAATATCTATGTGTGATGCCGGGTATTTTGTAGGAAATTGTAGCAAATAAAGTCATGTGAGAGAATAACAAAAGGAATGTTATGAATAACGGCATTTGATATTGTGCTGCTGGCTGTACCCTCACTGAACTGAAAGACCAATGTATTCCGTAGTGATGTGACCTTTGACGGTTTTCAAAATGCGAGCTGAAATGGTGGTTTTATCCAGGCCGAGTGGCTCGGTTTGTTGGAGCATCGTCCCAAACTCCAAAAGGTCACGGGTTCGAGTCCCAAGTCAGGGCACATAGCTAGGTTGTGGTTTGGTCCCCAATTGGGGTGCATACAGGAGGTCATCAATGTTTCTCTCTAAAATCAATAAAATGGTGGTTTTCTATTTACTTCAAATTAGTGAAGACGCTGAGTTGCTGTGGCGTCTGGCGCGGGCATCCCGGGACCTAGCTCAGCTTAGCGGAACCTCAGCGGAGGAGAAAAAGGCCCTGGTGTACGAGGCGCTGGAGTACGCGAAGCGGGCGCTGGAGAAGAATGAAGCGAGCTTTGCGGCCCACAAGGTGAGGCGCCTGAGGTCACAGTGGCTGCCTCGTCCCAGGCCGCTGTCTGCTTCCCGTTGTCCCGGATTCACACGGTAGGAGAGGGGCTAGCGACGAGCTTTCCCTTCCATTCTTGAGCACCTCCTCCGTGAGTGCCTGGCGAGTCACTCCTGGCGTGTGCACTGTGGACGCCATGGGAGCAGATCCACGGGTTCCCTGGATCTCAGCTCCCAGGAGTGCAGCACCTGACAGACGTTTTCTCATTTCCTCATGCTCTGTTCTGTCTCTCATGCTTTCACACGTGATTCCGCAAGCTCTGCATTTCCTGCCTGGCCCAGCACAGAGGCTCCCAGTGGACCCTGGGAGAAAAGGCGTTTGGGCGTTGTGGATGAGGACGTCACTTGATCACATGGGGCTGCCCCAGTGGAGCCGCAGGCCGTTGTGACACATTTCCCAGTGCTTCCTTTCGGGGCTGGTCCCTCCTGTCTTCCCATCCCCGCCCCCCCCAAAACACACACACACACACACACACATTGGTTTACTAGTATATTCAGGATAAAACAGATAGAAATACTTTAAATTTGTTGAGACTTCTTTTGTGGCCTAGAACCAGTCCATCCATGTTACAAATAAGATTTCATTCTTTATATGGCTGAGTCATATTCCGTACAACCTCATCTTTATCCATTTCTGTCTATTGATGGACACCTAGGTTGCTTCCATATCTCTTTTTTGTAATATACATATTTTTTATTGATTTCCTAGAGAGGAAGGGAGAGGGAGAGATAGAAACATCAATGATAAGAGAGAATCATTGATTGACTGCCTCCTGACACTTCCCACTGGGGACTGAGCCTGCAACCTGGGCATGTGCTCTGACCAGGAATCAAACCGTGACCTCCTGGTTCATAGGTCAATACTCAACCACTCAGCCACACTGGTCGGGCTTCCTATCTTTTTGATGCTACTGTAATTGGAATTCTTTTCTGAATTTCATTTTCATATTGCTCATTGCTAGTTGAGGAATGCAGTTGGTTTTTGTGTATTGATTTTATATCCTGTAGCTTTGCTAAATTTATTTATTGTAGATTCTTTAGGGGTTTAGTATAGGATCACGTCATCTATAAAGAGAGATAGTTGTGCTCTTTCTTTTCGTTTCTCAATCTTGCCCGGTTTCCCTAGCTAAAGCTCCCAGCACAGTGTGGAGGTGGAGGAGGGGGGGGAGGGCAAATTTTGTCTTGTTTCCGACTGTGGAAAGCTAGGAGGCTCACCTTGTTTCTCAGGTGTCTCTGTTGCCTACTGCGTGGTATCTTGAGAGTCATTATTTCTTATATTTTGTCTGTTTTTGTTTTTTTACTGTTTCAGGCAAGAAGGTAAGTCTATTACCCCTTCTTGGCTAGAATATCCATTTAAAAGTTTTCTTTCTTTTTTAAATAATATAAACTCAGTATCGACAATAGGCATTTTGGAAATTTAGAAAAGAATACAGCCCCGCCGGTGTTGCTCAGTGGTTAAGTGTCGGCCTATGAACCAGGAGGTCATGGTTCGATTCCCAGTCAGGGCACATGCCCAGGTTGCGGGCTCAATCCCCAGTAGGGGGCATGTAGGGGCAGCTGCTCAATGACTCTCTCCTCATCATTGGTGTTCTAGCTCTCCCTTCCTCTCTGAAACCAATAAAACATTTTTAAGAAAAAAGTACAAATATAGAAATAAAATCGCCATGATCACACCTCCTGCCATCAGCTCTTGCTAATTGATAATTCACTGTGAGTCACAAGATGCAGCCTCACCGGGGAGGAGGTTTGCTGTGCGTGTAGGTGACAGTGGGTGCCTGAGAGAAGGGTGTTGTATTCCAAGCCCTGAGACCTGGGAATAGGTCAGAACAGCAGGTGAGATCCCACGTGATCCTTCAGTCACCTGATTCGAGTCTGTCTGTTGTGTGCAGAGGGGTGTGTGTGTGTGTTTTAAACAATACTTTTTTATTCTTAATAAGCATTGAAAAATACAAAATTGCGGGCGTTCTTGTTCCAGCATTAAGAAGGGTTCAGGAAATCTGGAGAAGGCTGTGCGTAGATTAAATAGGAGTCCAGAGACGAAGCATAATTTTGAAAGGCATTTGGGGGTCAGCGGAACCTAGTTTAAAGGAAACTAAGATCTCCTCATCTCAGGAACCCATGCTTTTAACACAAATTGTCCTGAGGCGAGGCAGAAATATACACTTCAAAGGGTCAGGGTTTCATATACAGAGGCATTGTCAGAATGGGGAGAATTAGCCTATGGCTGTTCAGGTGTTTGGCCAGTAGGAGGCAATAACATGTAGATTAAAATGCCCTGAGCTGTGTGGCAGCAAACAATCAATTTAATGCATCCTATTCAGTTTTGGGGAAATGCCATCAGCCATTCCCAGATTCAGCCCTGCTGTCATTCTAGAATTGGTCCCCGGCATCTCGCCCTTTTTGATTATTTAAAATTTAACAAGAATGTATGTTTTAAGATTTTTAAATTCAATGGAAAGGACAGAGTTCTATCATGTCCCTTTAAATTGCTGCCAGGCATTAAAGGAATCAGTTTGTAGTAAATTTCTTTCTGAGCCAACAGTTCTTAGCGTCCCAATTTCAATGTCCAACCGTTTTTTATGTGTACATGTCAGCAATGGTATTTCAGTTCTGGATGGTGGACAGACGGTGGCAATGCAGGTCCGACCTTCTCTGGGTTGGTCCTGGGCAACCTGCAGAGACGCACAGCTGCTGACTGCTAGCATGTCAAGGCGTCTTCACCATCTCCATTTCTGGACTGTTTCTCTTCTGTTGTTCTGGGGCCACTGCTATTCTGTGGCTGGAGCAGTCCCATCAGTTCCTCTCTGGGATCCGTTGTTGCAGGAATCCACATGGGCTTGGAGGAGTTTTCTGGAAATATACAAACATATTCTCAACCAAAGGTTAATAAAGGAATCATTTTTATAAATTAGACTTGGGATCCTTTTCATTTTTGCCCAAACAATTTTCCTTTGGCTTATTTTGACACCATGAGTGTTTTTATGGGTGTCTTGCTATTAGTATTACAAGTGAAAAATAATTTTCAAAGGAGAAATTTAAAGCAATTAAGTCTTTTACTTACAGGGCATTATTCCACTATCCCCCCTTTTTTTATTTAAATATTAGGAGGCTTTTTGGAAATTTTGCAATGCAGTCTTGGTAACTTTTAACTTGAATTTCTTGTATAGAAATATGATTCATTGTATGTTAAGCAATTTTACTATGAGATGAACCATGAATAAAAATTAGTTAATGCTTCAGGAACAGTTGCCTGTACAGTACAATTAAGTTTTCTTAAAAGTTTACTTATATTAATTAGCTAATTTAAATTAATCTGAAAGAAGGTTTATTTTTTTATTATTATTGTTAATTTGACTTGTCCTAGGGTATGGACAATACATGATAGTAATTAAACTTCTGCAATTAGTCTTTAAGTAATTTTACATAAACTTTGTCAAGAACAACAAAAATACAAATTACTTACTCTTATTTTTCAAGGCCTAATGTATTGAAATATTTTTTAGTTTTTTCCAGAATAACTTCTAGGCTATACTTAGAGAACTTAAAACAAGCTTTGGTCTTTCTTTTTTACAACAAGCAACAAATGTAACAGGCATGGTTGCTTTTTGTATGTTGATTGATAGTGCCAGGCCATGTCACATTAAACAACTTCCCTTACGATCATGGTGACTACTATTATAGTTAGATTTGGTATTTTAACAACAATCTTTAGATTATCCTATAATTATTAGTGGAAGAGATTTCAAAATTTTAAAATTTCTCCTTTTTATTAAATTTATAATTATATTTTTAAGAGTATCCCCTTTGGGCTCATTTGCATATACAGAGGGATTATGGGAAGCCTCAGTAATTTAGAAAAGTTTACTAGGATTAAATTGTTTATAAAATACTGGCTTCTCATATAACTTAATTTATATGAGACCTTGATTATATTTTAAAAGCTAATTTATTTAAGTAATTAAAGTAGGCATCTTTATTAAAAAGCAAAGCAAGTAAATTTAGTTAACATATACATTTGATTCACAAGGCACAAACGCTGCCCCACCTCCAGCCTATTTAAAATGAAGTAGGTATTTTTATTAAAAAACAAAGCAAGTAAATTTAGTAAACTTATATGTCTGATTCACAAGGCACAAACACTTCCCCACCTCCAGCCTAATTTAAAATGCAGGTGGCTAGTGGCTTTTGTTTGCTTTATTCTGTCTTAAAATCCTGCTGTTGGATTTTAAGAAATATTTAAGCTACTTTATTTTGTCCTCCTTAGAGGCCAAAACCTTCATAACATTTAAGATATATGTATATAAGTAAAATATATTTATTAATTTTTATTTGATAAAGCTTTCCATGTGATTTCAAGTATATTA